TCGGTGAAACATCGAAGGTGTTTCGGCTAGTCAAAACATCGAAGGTGTTTGCTAGGAAACATCGCAGGTGTTTTCGCTAGTGCCTACTAGCTATTGGGGTTCACATGGCCGAAGACGAACATGCTATGTCCGTGGCCATTGTGCTAAAGAGCCCCCGAGGGGGGCAAATTTGAAGTGCCCACCAAACCCACCCTGGAGATTGGCTAGCCTGGACGGAGTTCCGGCTACCTTCATTTGCTTTTGCTAAGTCTTAAGACATGTTGCAGCAGACCCCCGCAAGATCTGTGCCCCATGACCTGTGCTACCGCATGATCTGCTTAGAGCGATCACTTGGACACCTATATATAAGGCCGCCTATCCTCAGGATTCGTTCCTGCCGAAGCACCACTTAGCCCTTCATCTGAGCATGCAGCTGTAGCGGACCGGGTGTCTTCTTCTCTCTTGGTTCGTGCAAGAAAGAAGGCCAGCATGTCTGCATGCCTCGGTGCCGACTCATCAAGACGGATGATGTGGTCATCCTGGACACGGGCTTATTGGCCAAGCTGTTGTACCATTGCAGCTTTGCGGATTCCTTCTTCACATGTGTCACCCTTTTCAAGAAAGGCGGCAGGCCCAACTTCTTCCAGCTCACTTCCGACACCTCATTCGTGTCAAGCACCGACGTCCGGGGGCCGTGTTTGTTCGTGAGGAGGACGACGGCATCGGGGTCGTGCCGTAAGCTTTCGCTGTGGAGAAGTATTGTGTTTATACATTGTAAGCTTTGTCTTGTAATGGAAGGTTGGGTTCTGGGTTTCTTATATATGTTGCAATTGTTGCATATATAGCCTTAAACCTAAAAAAGATTGTAACTTCCATAGGTCGTTTGATAAATCCTTAAACCCCAAGCCTTAAAAAAGATTGTAACTTCCATAGGTCTTTTGGTAAATTCCCTAAACCCTACACCTTAAAAAAGATTGTAACTTCCATAGGTCTTTTGGTAAGTTCCTTAAACACCTTAAAAAAGATTGTAACTTCCATAGGTCTTTTGGTAAATTCCCTAAACCCTAAACCTTAAAAGAGATTGCAACTTCCATAGGTCTCTTGGCAAAATCCGTAAACCCTAAACCTTAAAAAAGATTGTAACTTCCATAGTTCTTTTGGTAAATTCCCTAAACCCTAAACCTTAAAAAAGATTGTAACTTCCATAGGTCTCTTGGCAAAATCCGTAAACCCTAAAACTTAAAAACATTTGTAACTTCCATATGTCTCAAAGCAAAGTCCCGAAACCTTAAATTTCTAAAAAAGTCCTCGCTTCCACATGTCTTTCCGTAAGTCCCCATATAAAGTCGTATTATGTGTTGTTCATCAAACATATGGAAGCCAAAGCCCATCAGAAATATAGATATCTATCTACATATATATATATGTGTGTGTCCTGCATGTCCCCTTTCGACAAAACCGCATAACCAGAAGGCTTGCACAGATCATCATAAAGACATATATACATACAAAGCGCGATCTCTCGACAGAACCCTGTAGAGCTATATGCCAACATTATATGTTTTTATAACAGACATAAGCAGACAAACCAGATATTGTCAATCTATCTGGCTATATATATATATATACAATAAATTTCCAAACATCCGTGCCGGAGGCTGCCTTAGCCAGCCCGGCGGCAGAGGCTCATCCCGCTCAGGCGTTGTTTTTTTTTGAAGGTTTTGTCTTGGGTAGGGGTGGTGGTGGTCTGGGTGTTACTGTAAAACAAGCCGCTGATAAGCCTGCATAACCCACTTAGTGGACTTATTTAGCTAATTCTGACCAAAACACTTGCCCCAGTTAGTCTAAGTCACTTAAATGGGTTAAGATAAGCCTTTAAAATGACTTAGCTAAGTGGCTAAACCAACTGACTTAAGGGGCTTAGCATAACTCCTTTAACTGTTTATCTAAGTGATTATTGCACTCATGTAATCACTTACTAAATGGCCTAAACACTTACTAACCCCACCGACACTCCAAGCGACCCGCCTGCCTTAGCCAACTGAGGGGCCGCCTGCCCATACGCTAAAGCCGCGCCCGGCTTGCCAGACTCGAGTCACTGCACGCACGACTCTTGGGCCCAAGCATCAACACTGCACGCATTCACGCCGGACGCCGACGGTGGGGGTTTCCTAGCTCAACAGCCAACCGGGCGCCGCTCAGGACTGAAGTGGGGGTCTGAGTCGCCCGCCCCCAGACGTCCGGATTCCCGAATCCTGAGAGCAGCCCTCGTGAAAAGAAGGACGTCTCCTGCCTGCATGCATCAAACGCCACTGAGGCTCTGTTGCTCTGCACGTCTGGCCAGCCAGACAAGGTTGCGGAAGTCAGACTGGAAACACTTTGCCCCGCACTAACTTCACCAACCACCACGTGTGCATTCTTTAGCTTTTGTGGTGATGCTAGTCGAACTCACAGCAATCTTCACAGAAATTCTGGTCATGAGTTTTTGTTTGGAAATGTCGACAGTGTTTTCTGTCAGAACCTGCGGTCGATCTTGGCACGCACTGTATCGAATTTTTAAAGCTGTCACCAGAAAGCAGCAGCTTTCAAAACCGCCTTGCCCTGCATCGTTTCAGTTCAGAAAGCAACGCTCTGCCGCAGTTCCGCACCTTCCGCGCTGAGCTTTTGTGGTAATGCTAGTCCAACTCACCACGTTCTTCGAAAAAAAGGTTGATGTGCAGGCACTCTGGACGCGCAAGACTCAAACTTGATGATGCAGCCATGTTGGATGCTTTCAAACATGCCAAAATTGTGGAAGCCAGCCACAAAAACTGTGAGCCAGGACCAGCCGCAACGCAGTAACAGTAAGCATCCGGTTTTGCCATTGGAAGCTGTGCATGCCCCCGTACAGGTTCAGAGGGAACAAGTTACCAATTCTAATCAGCTCAATGCTTACATTTTGTTTAGTTTGCTGCACTTCTGAGGTCATTCGTTAAGTGAAGGTGTTGCCGAGAGAATAGTTTTAATTAGTTAGCCATTATGGGCGGGTTCAAGGATAAGCGTGCCAGAACCAACACACGGTGACCAGCATGACACACATGAACAAATTAAACAGGCTTTTGTGCTTGTTTAGAAAAAACAGCTTCAACTGTTCAACTGGACTATTAACTTGTGGTGTTCGGACCTTAAAACTCCTGCAAGACCGCCGTCAGCAACTGCGTGGTCCTGCGTTCGATGTGGTGCCTTTGAACAGCATCCCCGAATCTGTACGTGGACTGTCCGTCTTCTGAAAATCTCCGATCTCAAGCTAAACGACAACAAATACGCAGTTGTGTGCTTGTTCGTTGCTTCAATTCACTGCTAGCATAAGGATTTTTCATGATGTTCTCACAGAGCAGTCATAACAATTTTTGTTGCAGGTTGTCGGAATCTACTCGGCTTCATTGTGACAAATTTATGCGGATATTGGCCAGAAACAAAATCATGATTCCAGATGACCTGGTCCCGGCCAGGAATGCGTCAAGTCGATCAGAATTGCTAGTTGCTAGGTAGCTGAACGATTTAGGTGGCCTTGGATTAGGTTGGTCTCCCTTCCGTTTTTGGAGTTACTCGATCTTGCCGAGCACGGGAGCAGGACAATACACACAATTGATGTTGCCAAGCGGCCGCATGGACTGGCAGTGTAGCAGGCTGCAGCCCAATTCCCACTTGCGGGCACTCCCTGCAATTTTGGCTTCGTTTTCAAGGTACTGCATGAGATTCTAAGAACATCATTCAATAGCATGTTTCAGGTTTGGAATAGGGAGCGCACAAAAGATCGTAAACAAACGCAGAATGCTGTGCACCAGTTGTGGAAACTACCGTGTAGCAGCCCGGTCGGACGACTCTGGCAACGATGGTGCGGTTCCAAGTGCAATCTTAGTGGATTTGCCGTTTTGCTTTTTGGCGTCTCTGCTTGTCCCTGAGGATTCCAGCAGGGCCTTTGCAAGGCCGGGCGGCCAAAGCTCTTCTTTTCGCGATTGTTTCTTTTAATTGCTGCTTCCGAGGTTTTCTGGATGATGCGGCAGGTTGTCGGCATCACAGGCCATGCTTCCGAAGCACTTCCGGACGAAGTGACCGTTTCAACGATGTTTAGACAGAGGAACTCGACAAACATCACGAGCTCGGGCACGCTCTCCTGGTTCTGGCAGCGTCACGGCGGGGAGTGGCCTGCTTCGCCTTCTGAGGAACATGCTCAGCTCACGTGCGTCAAATTACCGGTTGGTGCATGTGCAGGTGGCTTCCGGTGGAAAATCGCAGGCCTGACGCCTCTTCAATGTGGAGCTGTAGCGAGTTGAGTTTGATCCACTTTGATGCACTGTAAATTTTCCAAGGGGCCATCGCAGAACACGGCATACGGCTTCCAAAGCCCTGCGCAGCCAAGCCGACCGTCTGTGGGCGCAAGCTGTGGGTCTAGCAGGTGGGCCCAGCCCCACCCTGCAGTGATTCTGATCAGTCTGTAAGCCTGGTTCGGTTGTAGCAGATTCTAGTTGCTCTTGGCAGGATGCTGTCACGTGCTTGCGCGTGACACGTGATAGGCGCTGTACTAAGCACTTGTGCAGACCAGACTGCAGACCACAAATTTCCTTTTTCCCGCACTCGTTTACTTCGAAACGGGGATGTCTATGGTTGCTCGACAGGCAACCTGTTGATGTTGTGGCATTGACATGGGCCGGGTCACCAGGTGTTAGCACCTAGACTGTTCCTGCTCTCCCTGCCTGCCTGCCTGTTTGCCTTCCAGCCTTCCTTAAGCAACACCTTCGCTTTCTGGATCGTCCTGCGCAGTATCCCTTTTGCCGCTCCTGGCAATCGCGCTGTCAATGTGGCTCGGAATAGCACCTCCGGTGCTGTGGCAGCAAGAGCCTCAGGCACTCCGATCCACGCACTAGGTGTTACCTTGTTCGTGTTTGTGCATTGCTGTGTTATCCTCAACTTGTTTGAGGCTCCTGAACCGAAAACTTCTCGGACCTCGCGACTCAGTGTCGTGGTTCGGAAGCGGCCAATGAACAAGAGGGAGGCCAATGACTTACCTCTTGGGCACGTCGCATCGCATGTTGCCGATGGTGAATGTCATCGAGTCTGATTAGGTGCAGACGGCACAGCAAGATGTCGTGATGTGCAGGCCGTGTTAGCAGAACTTCGCTTGTTTTGCAGCCGGGACTTCTGATACTTTTCTTGGATGATGTCAGGGAAAGTGCCGTCATAGTGCGGGAGCCGAAACTGAAGGTTGATCTCACGCGCTATGTGGAGGACGCTAGTCGCGTTGTGCCGGACTGGTTGCAGCTGAATCTGGAGACCGAAAGGAGCACAACTTCCTCTTTGATCAAGCCTTCGACGAGACGGTGGCCAGCTGAGACATCCACTGCAGCCTAGCTGGAGCTTTGCTGTGACATATGCTGAGGTGACCAATGAGTCGCTATACAGGTCTTGTGTGCAGCCCATCATCGATGCAGCCGCCACCTCAGAGTGTCTCCCAAGGCGTGCTCTGCGAAGCGCTTCCATCGGCTTCTTTCGAGCACACCTCCCGTGGTAGCTCCAGTTCGAGAGAAAGCTTGATGCGAGCGACGGCTTGATGCTGTCGGAGGTGGTCGAGTATTCTGGAAAGCTTGTGCAGTATCGCACCCGGTCAGAGATTCATGATATTCATGATAAAGGCTAGTCTATGTTCGATTTTCTTCCCAAAGACGTGACCTCAGTGTTGCCGGCATCGTGGTATTTCTGCTTCCGCCGACTCGGGAATCAGCCATCTCAGCAGACAGCTTGCAGAAGTCTGTTCAAAGGAATTTCCGGCACTGCGAAGTACTTGCGGCATGCAGACACGACTGTGCCACTGCAGCACCAGTCGCTCTGTGGCCTCTGTTTGTTTCTATCGCATTCGCTCGCTCGCTCGCTCCGTCTCCTTTCCCTCCCCGTCATGTCATTCTTTGCCTTTTACAACTTCTTCGGTGTGCATGTGTGTGCTGATCAGGTCTTTCATCGAGCCAAGTGCACTTGCTTTGCGTGCCTTGGCTGCAAATGGCGCGGTACAGGCCAAGGTATGCCATACTCAGGGCAACAGAGTTTGTATCGAGCGGTGCTAATTGCGGGAGGTATGGTCAGACAGGCAGCGGGAAGACCTTCACGATGATGGGCCCTCCCAAGCGCTTGGTGCGCCGTCACAGCTGAAATTTGCACGTTGATCCCAGGCAAAACGGTACAGCCGGTAGAGTGCAAGGGTGGCCGATTGTGGTTGCATTCAGCCTGCGGTGGTGCTTCCTTTGGCGCGATCATGAAAGCAGGTCGAGAACCTTGCCCCGGAAGAGCGAACTCCCGGGATTTTCCTGCTTGCATCCCAGGCCAGGCCGGCTCCCCAGCTGTTCCTTCAGCCAAACAACACAGATCTCGCCAGGACATCTTCAGGTCGGTTGCGAGCAAGGCCGGCAAAGACGTGCAACAGGAAACGCCGTTGGAGTTCTGAGCTGAAGCCTTGGGCAAGGACTACTCACACCTTGGAGTCTTCATCGCTTTCTATGAGATCTACTGCGGTAAGCTTTTCGATCTCCTGAACAACAGGCTCGATCCGATGCACTCGTTGGCCTACGTGGTTCTGAAAGTAAGACGGCTGCAAAGGCAGATCTTGCACGCCCGCGAGAATGCCAAAGGCAACGTTGTCATTGCTGGGCTGCAGGAGTGGATCAGAATGATCACTATGTTCTTTTGGCGATCGATTGGCAGTGTAGATCAATCCCTTCTCAGCCGTCACTGCGAAGATTGTGACGATGTTAGATCTTCGGCAATCCTTGCAGCTCTTTATGCTGCTTATGCTGCAATGCTCTTCTCATTGCAGGAGCATCCCGTGGGCAATGTGCAGGATCTGATGGAGGTTTGCCCCTCAGTTGTACATGCTTGTGAAGAGCGAAGCTGCCGCACAGCAGCTTTTTGTGAGGTCATCGAGTTCGGCCTCAACAGTCGGACAACGGGCGTGACCGGTGCCAACGTAGACTCGTCGCGACCTGAAACCAGTGAAGATGTCCATGGTCCATGATCATCTCGAAACTTTGAACGTTCACAAGCTACGCAGAGCCAGAGGTCTCGCTCCCACGCCATTCTGCAGATCAGCTTGAAGGACTTGGAGTCCAAGGAGGCGCCAGCGTCCTGAGCAAAAAACATGAGCCGGAGTGAGCTTTTCTGTGATCTTCGGCTGTTCAGGAGCACGGGAAGATCTCCTTCATTGACCTTGCAGGCAGTGAGCGTGGTGCAGACACCCTGGACACCGACCGACAGGCCTTCGCTGCACAGCCGAAAGCCTGGTTTGCCCTCCGTTTCCTCGGCAGACGCGCATGGACGGCGCCGAGATCAACAAGTCCTTGCTTGCACTCAAGGCGACACATAGCTAAACAAGCCCATGGCCCGATGATCTCCCCGGTATTGGCAAATGGACATGTACACCCTCGTGCGTGAGACATACCTCTATTTTCAGGGGCTTGCACTTGTTATGCTTTCAAGCTTTCAATCATGCCTGTATCCTTAAAACATGACTGGATATCACCAGATCTTCGCTACTTGAAAAGTTGAGCCGTGGAGGAGTGCATCCGAGCCCTGGATCAGCAGTTGGACCACACACCCTTTCGAGGCTCCAAATTGACGCAGGCAGCACCGCGAAGCATTCCATGCCCTGAAGCATGCGGAGCACAGATTTTGCAAGCTCCAGGTCTTGAAGGACTCCTTCGTTGGTGCAAACTGTCGGACTGTGTTTGGCTTAGCTGGCTAAGCGTTCAAAGTTGACTTGACTGGTGCAGTCCTTCATTCGACGGACGCCTCCTTGCCATGTGGTATGGTGTGGCTCAAGGTGATGATCGCGAATGTCTCGCCGTGCACTGCCCAGTGTTGGCGCTGATAAGCGCAACATCAATCACAGCACGAGGACGACATTCAAGTTCCGTGCAGGGAGGGACGAGATGCTTGTAGCTTGTTCTCTCCCTCCTGAGCAAGGTGCAGTGGTGCTGTGGAGCACTCGCTCAACACTCTCAGGCCACTCCTTTGAACCTCGTCTAGTTTCGCTCACCTAACATGACCCATTGGAGTGTCTTTCCAGGTATGCGTACCGAGTGAAGGAGCTGCGAAGTGCACCAGCTCCTTCCAAGGTGGTGACACCACCACCAGGCCACAAACACTGCTTGTAGGTGGCAGCACGTCAAGCGAGCCAAGCTTTCAAGCTAAGTCTTGGAGGGGAAACGGCAAGTCTTGACCGTGAAGCGTCTGTGTTGGCAGATGTCGGGTCCATAGCTTTAGCTTCAGGCATGAGACTTGTGTCGGTGGGAGCCTACACACTTTGGCCACTTGTGGTTATCGAGCGCACCTCGGTTGTTGAATCAAAATCAGTCTTTGACTTTTGGGTCAGGTGCATCGGGCTTTCAGCCTCTCCTTCACGTATCATATCCCCCTTTGTGCGGCGTCGCCTGTACTCTTTCAGCAAGCATTCTACCGATGCGCGAGCAGACAATCAAGTGATGTGCAGGTCCCGGTGCTGATGCTTCGCAACAGCTCCTCTCAATGCAGGCGGGGTTTGATGTCTTGTCACTTCGACTTCGAGGCCTCGAGGCTCGTGCTCACAAACTCTCTGTCCAGATCGGAAGCCAAAGCCTCTGCCTCCCGGTCTCCGGGGTGAGACGTGGCTCCTCCCCGATCACCTCCTTCTCATCTTCTCTTCACGGAGAGCTCCCGCAAACGGATCTCCTTGCGAGGCAGGCAAGGAGCGAAAATCCCGTACGTCATCCCTTTGGACCAGGTTTCTTTGCATGAAAGCACCGTGCGAACAGTGAGAAGCCGACCCGAACTTACACCGACCCGTTGAATCAGCTGAATTGGAACATCTGGGAGACACAGTTAGCCGGTCTGGTGGCCAGTGTTCTGTAGACTCACGCGATCTGCAGGGCGATCTTCTGGTGGATCGCTCGAGTGCCGGTCTCAGAAGGGCACGTAGTGGATTGTTGTGGGCATTGTCCATGAGCAGGTGACAGCAGCGATGAGGAACTCCAGCCGACCTCTCGACACGTTTGTTCGGGGGGGGGGGGGCTGCCGGGCGACTATAGAGACGAGAATACCAGAATATGACCCCGACTGATGCGTGATCTCAGTCATGCACAGGCTTTGTGATGGTTTGTGCAGTGCGTGCGCTGCCAGGCCACAGCCATCGCGGCGTGCGTTCAGCAACGATGCCCAGGATGCTACCTCTCTTCTTGGTGTTATGCCATGTTGCTTTGGTGTGCTAGCTGCTAGCTGCCAGCCACCATCTGGGAGAGGCTTCACCTGCGAGCCAGGGCAGCGGATCCAGTTGGAACGGCACGCAGCGATTGGCAACCTCTGCACAGGTGGAATGTCTTGGGAAAGTTCGCATTGGACGGGGCAGAAGACTAACAGAGAAATGATGCTGCAGGTGGCCAACGCAGTTGCTGCGGTGCCTGGTCCGAATGTAGATCTCGACTATTCCGCTCTTACTCTCTTCTGCTGGAAGTTTGCACCTCGCCAGCGCTTACTCAGGCCAATGCCGCCGCAGCTGCAGTACTGCCTTTGCAGCAGCAGATTCAGCAGAAAGAGCTTCAGTACCAGCCACCTGCTGGACAGGCTACACCATCACAGAATTCCAACTGTCCGTCACAGCAACAGGCCCCACAGCACCAATGCCACACGCCACAGCACTCCCCACCGAACACACACGTTCAGCCATCATTTCAACCACCGCAACCAACGCAGCCAACGCAGCCGCCATCACAGGCTCTGGCCCAAGGGTGTGTTTGTGCAGCAGCGATTGTTGCATGCTGCCTCAACATCTGCCCGATCCTGACTCGTGTAGCGTCGGAAGTTGGGCAGTTGCGAGCATGGTTAGACAAGTGAAGTTGCGCGAGAGAGAGAGAGAGAGAGAGAGAGAGAGTCGCTGACCCCAAAGCCCTGCAGAAAGAAAAGAGAGGCCAAAACCATATCTTTTCCGAGCTGGACTGTTGTTGCCCCTCACAGCCTCTAGACAGGGGCGCGCTTGTCAGCCCCCCCCCGAAGTGCAGTGAAGTGAAGAGGCCAAAGCAAAGAGAGAGAAGGTGCGGGCAAGGGGAGCAATCCGCTTGTCCCTAGCCCTGGCGAAAGAAAGGGTACAGGCGGTTGAAATACGCTTCGGTCACTGCCGCCCACAGACTGCGGGACACTGTCTGAAGGGCTCTCTGCCGGTCAGGTTACCACATGTTGACACACTTCAGGGATTTCCGAAGCTCTCCTAGGTGCAGCAGTCCATAGTGCAGGACCCTGTTGGAAGCCCAGCTGACATCACTTCCCGGACTCTCGACATCTTATCGATGTTAGCTATGTGGGCCCTCGCCCAACTGGGCGGTTGCCTAGAGGGGTGAAGAAGTTAAGATCTTGGCTAACGCGTCGCTAGCTGGCTGCTTGTTCCAAAGGGGATTGTGCATCCGCATCAAAATGAGGTGGCAGCTGGCCTCCCTGACCATTCCCAAGCAGCTTTGGACGAGCCTGGCTGGCAGAACTTTGAACTTTGACAAGTGGTACCTGAAAGACAAAAGGGCAGAGGCATCGACATTTCAATGGGCTGTGCCTCAATGTACACTCCTACAAGATCGATGATCTACCGAGTGACGCACGACCTACAACCGACCTGCCTTCTTAGAAAGCTAAAGCTAACGAAAGGACCTACCTGCCTGCCTGCCTGCCTGCTCGCTTGTATCTCCAGCGTGCATGCTTTGCATATTCACAAACACAGGCAACAGATGCATAGTCATGTACATGTGCATATGTGACCAAGGACGTGCTACATACATGCCTTCGTAGATAGGCTAGCCACCGAAAGAAGACAAACCAACGGACACATTTTGCTCTGGTTGGATGCCGAAGGAACGGCCATAATAAGTATGAGTCGAACAGCCAGGTTGGCTCGACAACACGACCGGCTCATAGGCACCATCCTGGCAGAGGAGGAGGAGCTGCACGCCCGGGAGAATGTGCTTTTCTTTTCCGCGATGCTTCTGCAGGAGTTGATCACAGCTCACCGTCAGCACATTGACATGATGGTGGAGCTGATCAAGGTGCATACTTGCCTGAATGTCCAAAGTGGGGCTAAAGTGGCTAAAGATTGATAGGGGTGAACACATGAACGACATGCACGCTGGCAGCATAAAGGCTTTTTGCAATGCGTGTTCAGTTCCAAATCGCTCAGGAGGAGATGGTGCACTTGAACAACGTTGACCGTCCGGGCTCTGACGTCGACGCTTACGTAAATGGCCTCGACCGGATACTCCGAATGAAGGCCACTGTTGGGAGCAGAGCAAGAACACCTAGCCAACCCAGCGGTAATCTGTGCTAGATTCTTGTGAAGGGCAGCATCCAAACCCCACAATCTCTTGCCATGCAGGCTGATTACATCGGCGACATCCGTTCTCGCGTGGACCTCTTCAAAGAGCACCTTGCGCAGGAGGGCATGTTGTTCTCTGTACTCGCAGCAGCACGTCAGCCAACATGTCAGCTTCCGGTTCTGGCCCAGACCTCGCCTCTTTTGATGCTACTGAGCTGGTGGGTGTGGTCGTGGTCGTGGTCGTGGTCGTGGTGGTAGTAGTCGTCGGTGTCGTACCAGCAGCAGCATCAGCAGCAGCACTGCCGCTACCGTGAGTAGCAGCGGCAGGCGGTGAGCACGCTTGTGATCACACTATAGCATAGACAGATTAGCGACGATCGCCGAGTTGACTATCATGTCGCGCCACATCGTGTTGATCGCCCTCCCGCTCGCCAGGAGGATGCGCTTTCACGGAAGTTCCAATCCCTAGCATCATCATCGGGTTGAGACGCAAGTCCGCAAGTCAGACGAAGTGGCTCTCTTGAAGACACGGTACGATCTCATCACAACGGAAGCATGACTGCTTGGGTCTCAGCACTTTGGTGAGTTTTCTTGTCGCAGTTTCCCGGCAAGTCAACTTCCTGGAAGCTCGAATTGCCTTCACTGGCGTTGTGCAGTGAATGGGGAAAGCAACACGCAGCCTCAGCAGAGCCACTTTTCTGTAGGTTCTACTAGCCGACTTCAGTGGTTGTTGCGACTGCAAGCGTGTTGTGCTCTAGCAGCCCAGTACAGCGCACGTAGCAATCCATTCAAGTGGGGCTTTGAAGTCGCAGCGGCGCCGCTGCTCAGCAAAAAGCCGATGTGTTAGTTTTTAATTCCTACCGCACATAGAATGGTACTGCAATTCACTGAATCAATGTCTCCACACTTGCAATATATACGTCGTGGCATGACAGTAGAGTGTTGCAACGGCGAAATATTGAAGCTACAGTGTGATGTAAAGTCAGTCTTCTATTGCTGTTGCAAAGACTTGTTTCGCAGCTGCACACCCCAGCTACCACTCCTCAAATTAATTGTTGAATGCTACTGGGGTCATGATCTCCTAGTGGGCGACTTGGGTTGGCCAAGAGACCAGACCAAGCACAGGAAGGGATTCTCAGGAGGGCAGGCTCGAAGTGAGAGTGAAGTTGGACATCGTGTTAGTGAGGTTTGCAAGGTCCGCGGTGTGACCATTGCATTGGTGGTAGTGATATCCGTTGTGGGAGGAAGAAATTGCAGTGAGACTGCAGAATCTTCAGTGAGAACATGTATGTGGGTGTTGGGTAGCTTTTCAGTCTCAGCTTTTGCCATTTTGCTGACGGTATCATGCTGGCGAGTTGCGAGCCGCCTGGCTCAAAAAACAACACAACCTCGTTCTCCTTCCAGGCACGAGAACGCACGTGTGCATGTAGAAGGGTGGTGTATACAGGGGTTCTAACATACTTGTAACTTCACGTGGATGAAGCTGAATGGATCAATGTTCTGTGCAGTGAATGTTTCCCCTTCTGGTAATTATTCAGCACGGATGGATTGCGATAGTGTCCGTTTGTTCACACGATGGCGCAACTCAGCATCTGCTTACGTATGCCTTTAGAAATTGTGCTTAATGCCCGGATGGACAGACCATGTTCTGTGCGCCTTTAACGGTTGCACCAACATGGCTGCCAAGCCCGGCAACATCGTCAAGTCGCGCACGCCAAGTCGGCAAGCCTCGAGCGATTCCTGCACGAGGTGTGGCAACAGTTTTGTTGGGGCAACGTTGGCCATTGAACGATGCACTACTGTACACTATGGCGACCCTGCAGGTGCTTTGATCACTGTCGGTGTCGCAGTCAGTGCTCGGGTCTTGCGCCGCGCTGCAGACACAGACTCGGCTTCCAGCCGACGGTTAGTGGAAAATCTACAGCGCCAAGTGGCGAGGTGGGGTGCCGAGTTTGGAATGTCTTTGGAAAGCCGTTGACACCCTGGCCCCTAGCTGTGCTTCCTGCAGGTTAGAAGAGGCCAACAGGCAGTTGCAGGCTGAAGTGCTGGCTGCAAAAGCCGGGCTTGGCCTACCAACTGAGGACGCCGAGCAGGCTAGGATTGTTATGCTAAGTCACGCAACTAGCAGAAACGAGGGTGTTCCTGGTGGAGAGCACGTCAGAACGACTCTTGGCATGGTTCTTTGCACAGGCACGCTCCAGCTTCGACGAAACAGGACAACCCCCAAAGCGCTGCCGTGCTTTGTGCCTAGTTGTGTTTGGGTGATTTTTGCCCCCCCAGTGATAGTTTAGATCATGTACATGCAGATCATGCAGCCTAGACTGAGACTGAAAGCACTACCCGCCACGGCAGGCCCAGCATGTTGTTAGTTATGGGGCAGGACGATTCGCGTTTCCAAAGGTGGGCAGCGTGTGTGATTTGCGGCACGTAGATGTTCAAGCAGGGCCCTGTCCTACTGTCTATCGGGGCAAGAGAACACAACCATGCTTCAAGTTGCCGGCAGGCCGATCTTCCTTTTCCGTTGGAGTCACTTCGACTGGTACCTCCAGAGCGAGGTCTGGAGTACAGAGAGGCCCGACTTTCCGAACCGGGATTGATGAGTGCAGAAAGATGATGCCAGGAAGAAGGCGATTGGATCTCACTTTTCAGGACTGATGTGTGTCGGGAAGCAGTGTGACGGCCGGTCTCGCGTTGTGCATGATGAGGAATGCGGCGCCCTACATCGCGGCGTTCAGGCCCGTGACACAAATATGTACCACGGAACAGCGAGCGAAGTGTCTAACATGGTGTTTGCCGTGAAGAGCTTTTGGGAGGCACCACATTTGTACCTGTCCCTCCCGGCTCAGGGGTGGGACCGTCGTGGTGCACCTGCCCTCCTTCATGCTGGAAGATGACATGCAGGAAACTTTTCGCGGACTGATGGAGGCGCACGCCGGTTGACATTCAGAATCAGGAAGCAGCAGCTGCTGCATGCAGGATGTCGCCTTCTGCTCTTTATTGGGGCTACAGATGGTCCTCGTTACCTCCATCGAGCAATGACCTCATTAGTTGCTGTGGGCGAGTCTTACAGTTGGCAGCCAAAGCTTTCAAGGTGCAGGCTTTGGCAGAGGCTGCGACCCGGTGAGGTTGGGGGGCTGTTGTCGGTGTCCGGGAACCAACACGTGCCTTCCCTTGGCGAGCAAGGACTTCTTGGCGAGGGATGGTGCTGGGACGAAGGCGGTCGCTTCTTCGCGTTGCGACGCGGCATGTGTACCACTCTGTGTTTCGTCAGTCGGAGCTTTTTCACGTTTGGCTTCAGTGGTAGATATCCTAAACCCTAAAGATGGGACGTGGGCCCGCCGGGAACGTTAAGAATGCTATGTGGTGCCACGAGCAGCGCAGCCGGCAGCGCAGCTGAAGGCAGGCCAAGAGAAAGCGAAGCCATGCCAAAGCAACGGGGTGGGGGGTGGGTAAGGAGCATCAGAATCAGATAGACAGATATATATGTATATATATATATATATATATGGTCACCCCCCCCGCATGACAGACCATGCCCTTCAAAACATCGCTCCCACCGGCGTGTTCGTGCTTTTTCCGGGGTATCGAGTTTGAGCCTTTGAACGTCTCTGTGAAGAACCACCCGA